TTTTTTTTTTTTAGGAAAATACTTTTTTTTTTCTCTTTTTTGTCCCTTGTCATAAAGATTGTGGCCAAGTTAAAAAAACATTGCCTACAAAATAACAGGTCAATGAAATGTTCACTCAACTTTTGCCATTAGAAAGGGAATTGTATTTAGCGACTAATCAATCCTTTATTGCAGTAAGAGACTATTGGTGAAATATTTATGTGGACCTGGAATTAACCAAAGGATTCAGCAGTCCCAATAGGTAGAAGTCACGTGCATTCCGAATCTTACCTCAAAAGTATGTGTCCACGAAGGGATGAAAGGCTTCAAGTAATTCAACCAATATAGCATTAAAAACACTGAGCATCGGAAGGTTTCCAAAATGGCTGCCTGAGGCCTGCAATGAAAAGTTAATTGACATGCAATTAACATAGGATCCTACAACTAGGACTGGAGAAATCACATAGCTCAACCTTCATTTCGCAAATGAAGAAAATGAGGTCCAGGGCCAGGTCATGTTGCTAGAAATTAGGAAAATAAGAAATTAGGAAAATTATCTGACTTCAAATCCAGAAATCTTTCCATTATATTCTACCTTAAATAGAATTATTTCATGTTTCAAAGCTATGATTATTAGATTCACAAAATGTCTGTGTCAAAAATCCAAATCAGCTAATGTTTTCAGATGCCTACTCTGTTCAAAGCAAGAGATGGTGCTGCTTAGTGGACAGTATCAGCCCTGGCCTCTGGAAGACTGGGGTCCTAGCGATGCCTCTTATGCACCCTGGTTGTGTGACTGCAGACGAATCCCGTAAAAAGTGCCCAGGCAACACTCCAAAGGATTTAAGTTAGAGAATACTTGCTAACCTGCATTGGGAGAGAGAATGAACACCCTGGGAATTTCCCACAACGAGAGCACATACCAGAGACCCCCAAAATAAGAAATCAAATAGCACAAAGCTATGAGTTCAAGGCTTTGGAACATGCAAAAATAACTCACCTACAGTCCTCAGTCTCAAGCTGAGAGTCTAGTGTCGTGGAGGGACACGGTACTCCCACCTAAAATTCTCATATAGTTTGGAAGCTATTTAGTTCCTAAGAAAAGTACAAACCACATGGTGCCCTAGGTGGAGGGGACCAATATTATCTGGGAAGGTTTCATGGAGAAGGAAACACTGGAGCTGGGTATCCTGGGTAAACTTTTCCCTGATGGAGATGGGGAGGGCATTACTGACCCACAAGAAAGTCTAAGAAAGCTAGACTGCCTGGCCAAGGTCCAAAATAAGCATTGGCCCAACAACAGATCCAGACAGCTCTGTAGAAAGCCACAGACTGAGTATGGGAGCAAAAAGGGACCCGGGGGCTGGTAAGATAACAGAGAAGAAAGGCAGAGCACAGCATGCAAAGTGGAGCTAGGAGGTTGCAGGGGGCCCCAAGGCAAGAGCATGTCCAGACAACATGGCAACATTGCCATCCAAAAAGCAACACGTGAAAAGGTGGTCTCAGCTTAGGCAAGCGCTGAAGAATCTGATGTTCAAACAGGCAGCATGATACAGTACTAGGCATAGAGTTGGAAAGGTCTGAATTCTAATCAATTGTAATTGGATTGCTATGTGAGTGTGACCAAAACCCTTCATCTCTCTGTGCCTCAGTTTCCTCATCTATAATGTGGGTATAGTATCTCCTATGTTTCTTGAGAAGAAAGTGATTTGTGAATTGTAAAGCAAAGAGAAGTAAACGTCATTTTCTGTTGGACTGGCTTCACACGATGATGCTAACATGTTTTTGAGAACTAATGTTGAGATTCAACTTAACCTGTGCTCCCTTAATTTTCTCAAGGTTTCTCATCTGTGGCTAACTCTCCACTACTTTCTTTGTGGGAAAAGGTTGTTCAAGCAGAGTCGGACAGAAGCAGGGAAGAAAACAGCATGGGTCACCCATTGATTGCAGAATTGTGGGGAAACAGAAAAGGGATCCCTAGTCAGGGGTCATAAAAGAACTGAAGAGAAATTGCAATTAGCTTGATACTCCATGATCCTCTAGCTCTGGCCCTACCAAGGCAGGACAATGGCTTCTCTATGCAGGGACATTTAAACTTTTTAACGTTATCATTATGTGGTTTATGCTGATTTGATGATACAGGGCTTTGGGAAGGGAACAGATCATGGAAGCTACAGTCAATAGAGAATATGAAAGTCAGGGCAGAAAATGAGGGTCATAGAATGAGGGTCAAAGACAAGCTGACTTAAAGAGTCTCATGACCTATTTCTTTAAGTATACCTTTTAAGAGACATTTCTTGTTTAATATCCTCAAATGGAGGCCTCATTCTGAAATATTTAGAACATAAAACATGTGTGCTCCAAATCAAACAGTATAGCCCATGGAAATGTAGCCTTTTGTTAATTTATTGAATTTATGATTAATGTTTGCTGTCCACATTTTGTCTTACATTGTAAACAGTGCTAAAAAGCAGGGACTGTGTCTGTTTAACTTGCTTTGAACGAAACCTAATCTAGGACTATGTGCAGATTGGCCCTTAATTAATCGTTTTACAATGACAGTGATGAACAACTATTTAAGCAGTAAAGATTAAGGTCTATTGGATTTTCATCATGCTTTTCCTTTCAATTATTAAATCACTTACAGAGGAGAGAAATAGATATAGTGATCCCAATAGACAGACAGCTCATTACCTTCTCTCATTCATTTGGCTGTAAAGGTAAGGTTGTGCTTCGAAGCCAGCTCAGAATTCAGAGTTCCAGGAGAAAATGTTTTTGCTGGACTTCAAAGATTCCTTTTTGGGGCAATTAATCACTTAGATTTTTCAGCAGGGGGACTAACAAACTTTATAGGATATAAAAGTAAGCACATTTCTCAAAAACCTTAAATAGAACAAGTTAAAAGCAGCCTTGGACAAGTCATGCTTCTGTTTACTTACAAATGAATTCATCAGGCTTGTTTTCTGAAAAAAAATGTGACTTAATTGAGTTTTCAGGTAAAATATTTTCAAATATCAGGAAACCAAAATAACACTAAAATAAATAAACATACAGAAGGGCTCTGAAATGTCAGTGTTGGAGTATTTTTCAAAGATCTCATAAAGAAAATGATGTTAGAGAGTCCCCATATTTCCACATGCCCCTTGATTTATTAGCCCCACTGGTAGTTTATACTTGTTAGTTCTATATTTCTTTGGGGGAGGAGGAAAATGGTCACTAATTACTTTTGGAAGTTTGATTTTAGACCTTTGTAATTGTTGGCAGCTTGGTGTGTAAACAGACAGGGAAAACCCAACCACCAAGGCAGGACACATACAGACATTTATATTTTCTCTTCAGTTGACAAATTCAGTCGCTTGCAAAAAATGCCCTGAACCCTGACCTTGAGGAACATCCGTGTTCTGCCCCCTGGCCACCCATGGATTGGCCTCGGGGTGTGAAACTTTTGTCTCCATCCAAAAGTCTGGATAGGGCCAGTACAAGACAAACCACAAGGAAATGCTTCTACCCAATGAAGATCACAGACATTAAGTTAAATGATCACCGAAGGCACCAAGTGAAGGACATAACCATTTGTTCATTCACAAAGTTAATCTTCATAACTGAAATAGACTGAAATTTTAACAACACTGAGAGGATACTGCTCACACACACCTTGCTGAAAGGCTTGTGGAATCTCTGGGGTGAAGCCCTTTAAGATTTGGCCAAGCGGCCATCTTGGCTGACTTACTGATTTGGGATAGAAAGTAAGTAGGGCACAGAAACACAGAGGAACATGTAGAAAATAGTACTCTTTTTGTTTTCTTTGTGGTGAGGCAATCAGGGTCAAGTGACTTGCCCAGGGTCACACAGCTAGTAAGTGTCAAGTGTCGGAGGCCAGATTTGAACTCAGGTCCTCCTGACTCCAAGGCTAGAGCTCTATCCATTGTACCACCTAACTGCCCCAATAGTACTACCTTTTAAGATAACAGTAAAACAAAAATCTTTGTAGTATCCAAAGAAGAGGAACATATGTGTGGTTGTAGAATGCCTATACAGACAACCCAGAATAAGTGAAATTATTTAGTCCCTGGCAACATGCTTGACATCTGACACGTTGCTCTCCTAGTCAAGTTATGAATCTGTATGTATTCCTTGACAAGCCAGAGACCTATCAAGGGTTCTTTGGTACATGGATGATAATGGGATAGTACTGGGGGGCATCAAAGTGACCGTGATGCTATCCATGGACCTCCAGGAAAATAAAATTTATTGCTTTTTTAGTAGGAAACAATTGAATAAAAGCAACAGTCAATACTGAAACTTAAGGACCAGTGATGGCACATGATTCCTGCTCTGTAGAGAAACAGAGGGTTATGGGTGCCAAATGTGGCAAATGCTGTCATAACAGCATATGGGCTGCTTTTGCTTAACTGTTTTTCTATGTGACAACAAAGAGGTGTCCAGAGTTGGGGGGGGTGGGGGAAGCGTTTGTTCTCTCTCTGTCTCTCTCTGTCTCTGTCTCTCTGTTACTCTCTCTTCCTCCTTCTCTCCTTTATTTTCTCCTCCATCCCTCCCTCTCTCCACAGAATCCATCCATCCTCATATCCAATTCTGTTTCTGTTTGCTCTTAAACACAGCTAAGGTCCAGGTTCAGCATTTTAGCCAGTGTTTCCAAGGCCACAATGCTTCCCATTGCTCAGTGAGTAGTTCATTAGGCCCACAGGAAACGTCATCAGTCTGATCCTAGAGACATTTGACCACTTTCTAGGGAACATTACATTAAGTGAAAGAAAATGCAAACATCCCCCATCCTACCTTTGTTCCATGAAGAATCCAATGGAGGTCAGCGTCAGGATGATGTAGCCTGATCTCAGGAGGAGGGTGGCCTGTGATAACGCCTGTTAAACCAACAAGCAGACAAATTACTCATTTAGGGGAATTCTCTGAAGGAGTATTTTAGTCTGAAGCCTTCCTCTATGTTACACCATTAGCCATGACATGTTTTCAGAGTAGTCTGATTCATCGTTACATTTAGGCCATTCCAGTGGTTGAGCATTTTCCTTAATATCATTGTTTCCTTGTTAAACACTTTGGGGATCAAACTTTTCTGAAATCATTTTTCAAATTAAATAATCTTTCATATGTTTCTTCTTCTCTAACCCCCCCCCAAGGCTTCTCATTCCATTGGTCTTTGAACCATGTGTGTGCCTCTACCTAGGGGAAATAGCTAGAATTTCTATAAATAAATACCACATTCCAGCTCTGATTTTGAATATCGCTAACTCTGTTGTCAACCCCAGGCCCCTTCAGTAATGACAGTCCTAAGGACATCGAGGAGAAGAATTAGACAAGCAGAAATGTAACCAATGACCTCTGACACTACTAGAGTGTAGAGTGATTTTTTTTAAAGCTATATATTGTAATCATCTTAATGAATCTCAGAGGCTCATAATTGCAATTGATCAATGATTGGATAAAAAGACAGATGATTGAAATTTATTCTAGGTAGGGCAGAGCCCTTTTATAAACTGATAAATCAAATCAATCAAAAATATTAATTCTCTAGATGAGACTTCACAAGTATCTGGTCAGCTTTTGCTGGAAGACCTCCCAGTACCTCCCCAGGTAGCTCAGCCCACTTTCTAGCAGCTCCAACTGTAGGTTTTTGTCCCTGAAGCCAAGCCTAAACTTGCCTTCTGCAGCTCCAGCCCATAGCTCCTGGTTCTACCACTGGGACTAAGTAGAACAGGTTTGATCCTTCTTTCCCTGGTATTGGATTCCTATCACATACACAGATTGATATTTATTTTCTATTTGTGTTGTAGATATTTGTTTATGTACTTGCTTTATTCATTATAATTTTATCCCCTTCAACTGGCATTGCCTGGTACATTGTCTGATAAAGACTCACTGATGGATTCCACAGAACTACCCTTCCAAATCTTAAAGACAGTTATTTTGTCTCTCGCCACCTCTCACCTCTTAAATCTTCTCTTCTGTAGGTTAACCATCCCCTGTTCCTGCAACTAATTCCTAGAAGACACTATCTTGGGGCCATTCACCATCTTGGTGGCCCTTCTCTGGACCCTCGCCAGTGATCAGTGTCCTTCCTAACCTAGTGCCCAGAATTGAACAAAACGCTCCAGGTGTGACCTGACCAGAGAAAAAGATGGTGGGATTATCATTCCCTGAGACAATATAGGTTTCTCCCAATGGAATCTGAGGTGGTATTTGCATTTGGGGATGCCATGTCATGCTGTTACCTCTTTTGGAACCAGTGGGTCCACTCCCCAGACTCTTTCCAAATGAACTGCCTCTACCCATCCAGCTATCCCTCCCTCCTTTAGGACATGGAAAGCTGGAATTCTGAATCTAGATGGAAGTCCTACTCCATGATCTTCTTGATCTTATTTATTTTATCTTATTTATTTGTGCTGAATGTTTGAGCTTCTCAAAATTTTATGGATACTTTCTCTACAATCTCGTGGAATAGATTTTCCTTCCAACCGTGTATCAACAACAAATTTTGTTGAGTATGGCATCTGTGTTTTTATCCAATAAACTGTTAAACAGCTCATGTCCAAGCATTTGATTATGGGGATACTTAGCTGGAAACATCTTTCCAGGTTTTTATGGAACATTAATGTCTACTTTTTAGCACAGTTTTTTACCCAATTCTATCACTACCACTCCCTTACAGTATTTTTCAGATTCCATCTCTGTATCTGGTCCTCAAGACAGTAAGACCCATGGGAGTTTTAGTCAAATATTTTTCCAAGATATGCATAAACCATAGGTATCTATTTTGTTATTTGTTTCTGTTCAGTCATTTTTCAGTCATGTCTGACTCTTCATGACCCCACTCGGGATTTTCTTGGCAAAGATACTGGAGTGGTTTGCCACTTTCTTCTCTCATTTTAAAAATAAGGAAGCTGAGATAAATACAGTTAGATGACTTGCCCAGTATCACAGCTAGCAAATGTCTAGGACCAGATTTAAACTCAGATAGATGAGTCTTCCTGACTCCGGGCTCAGTGCTCTATCCACTGCACTAGTTAGCTACCCAAAGATAACTCTAACATCTTCCAATCTACCAGGTTAGTAACTCTGCCAAAATCAGTATCAACTGAGACATTTGAGAATTAATGAAACAGTCTTTTCCCTTGTGGAGTTTCCAGTCAGTACGGGGCAAGCGAAATGTACAGAGATATGAAAAGTAAACATATACATACATATAGGTGTTATATGTGTCTATAAATTACAGCAATTTGTGGGGATAGAGAGATCCAGGAAGGCCTCTTGAAAGGGGTGGCCCTTTTACTTACTCAGTACCATACCAATCAAACTACCAAAAATATTTTATAGAGCTACAAAAAATAATAACAAAATTCATTTGGAAGAACAAAAAGTCCAGAATATCAAGAGAACTAATGAAAAAATGCAAGGGAAGGTGGTCTAGCTGTACCAGATCTTAAATTGTATTATGAAGCTACCTTGTACTGGCTAAGAAATAGAATTGTGGATCAGTGGAATAGGTTAGGTATGCAAGACACAACAGTCAATGACTATACTGATCTATTATTTGATAAATCCAAAGACTTTCACTTCTGGCATAAGAAATCACTATTTAACAAAAACTGCTGGGAAAACTGGAAAAATATATGGCAGAAACTGGGCATAGACTAACATTTTACACCCCATACCAAGATAAAGTTAAAATGGGTACAGGATTTAGATATAAAGACTGATACTATAGGCAAACTAGGAGAGCAAGGAATAATTTACCTTTCAGATCTATGGAGAAGGGAAGAATTTATGATCAAACAAGAGACAGAGAAAATTATCAAATGGAAAATGGAAAATTATCAAATGTAAAATGGATAATTTTGATTCTATTAAATTGAAAAGCTTTTGCACAAACAAAGCCAATTCAAGCAAGATTAGGAGGGAAACATAAAACTGGGAAATAATTTTTGCAACCAGTCTCTCTGATAAGGGCCTCACTTCTAAAATATATAGAGAACTAAATCAAATTTATAAGAATACAAGTCATTCCCCAATTGATAAATGGTCAAAGGATGTGAGCAAGCAATTTTCAGATGAAGAAATTAAAGCTATCTACAGTCATATGAAAAAAAACGTTCTAAATCACCATTGATTAGAGAAATGCAAATCCAAACAACTCTGAGGTACCACCTCACACCTATCAGATTGGCTAACATGACAAAACAGGAAAATGATAAATGTTGGAGAAGATGTGGGAAAATTCGAACACTAATGCATTATTGGTGGAGTTGTGAAATGTTCCAACTATTTTGGAGATCAGTTTGGAACTATGCCCAAAGGGCTATAAAATTGTGCATATCCTTTGACCCAGCAACACCACTTCTAGATCTGTATCACAAAGAGATCATTAAAACAAGAAAAGGACCTACATGTACAAAAATATTTATAGCAGTTCTTTCTGTGATGGCAAAGAATTGGAAATTGAGAGGATGCCCATCAATCGGGGAATGGTTGAACAAGTTGTGGTATATGAATGTAATAGAATACTATTATGCTATAAGGAATGATGAACAAGCTGACTTCAGAAAAACCTGGAAAGACTTGTATGGACTGATGCTGAGTGAAGTGAGCAGAACTAAGAGAACATTGTACACAGTAATAGCCATGTTGTAGAATGACTGACTTTGATAGACTTGGCTTTTCATAGCAACGCAAGAACCTAAGACAACTCCAAAAGACTCATGATACAAACTGCTATCCACACCCAGAGAAAGAAGTATGGAGTTTGAATGCAGATGGAAACATACTATTTGCTCTCCTTTTCCTTTGTTGCTTTGTTTTGATGCTTCATTCTTGTGGTTTCTCCCATTAGTTCTAATTGTTCTTTACATCATGACTAATGGGATGATATGCTTAAGATGAATGTATAATGGGGAGTGGAGCCAAGATGATGGAGTAAAAGCAGTGACTTGCTTGAGCTCTCCCCCAAACCCCTCCAAATACCTATAAAAATGGCTCTAAACAAATTCTAAAGCAGCAGAACCCACAAAAAAACAGAGTAAAACAAATTTACAGCCCAAGACAGCCTGGATCATTGATTGGAAAGGTATATTGCTCCAAGCTGAGAGAGGAATGCAGCTCAGAGTGGGAGCTCAGGCAAGGCAGGCCTCAGTGAACCTGGAGCAGGCCTCAGAGGACTAAATCGTGGACACTGTGGCAGTTTCCTGATTTCTCAACCCATGATCTCCAAAGACAACTTACAAGATCAGTGTGAAAAGTCTGTGTCTGCTGGGAGAGAGAGAAGCACTCTCCCCACCCCAGTCCTCAAGCTTGGCCCTGGTGCTGGGGCTGCGGCCACTCCCAGAGCTTCTTACCCACAGACTGAGGGCAAATCAAGTGATTGATAAGAGGGGGATTGCAGGAATCTCCCTGCTGATGCAGGATTCTCTTACTTTGCCCATTCTTGAATCTGGGTCACAGTTGGGGGTGGTGGTCCTGGGGTGAGGAGTAGCACTGGAGTGGTAGAACTGGTAGTGGCAGTAGAGAGGAAATTCTCCTCACAGTTCCAAGTCAGAAAAGCATGCCTGTGGTCACTCATAGACCAGAGCATAGGCCAGGAAAGGAATAAACACCTCACCCCTTATCATACCACCTTGAAAGAACTGAAAATGTACACATCCCTAGAATTATCTCTGAAAATAGCTGCACAAAACCCCCAATGCTTGGGACAGTACATTTTCCACACTTGAAGCAGACCCCTACTTTAACAAAGAGTTTGTAACTCAAGTAATTGGCTGGGATCACGAGCAAGCAGAGCAAAAAGAGTCAGATCATAGAATCTTACTTTGGTGACAAAGAAGATCAAAACATACAACCAGAAGAAGACAACAAA